TTCCCCTGCCTCAGCCTCCTGAGTAGCTGGGATTACAGGCGTATGTCACCACACCCAGCTAATTTTTGTCTTTTTAGTAGATACAGGGTTTCACCATGTTGGCCAGGATGGTCTTGACCTCCTGATCCACCTGCCTCAGCCTCCCAAAGTGCTGGGATTACAGGTAAGAGCCACTGCGCCCAGCCCCTAATAACCTCTTAAAGGTCCTACCTCTCAACACTATTGCACTAGGGATTAAGTGTCCGATACATCCTTTTTGGGAGACACATTCAAACCACAGCAGGATTCTTTGCACGAATCACTCCCTACAATATAAGCTATTCATAATCCATGCACTCCATTTTATATATTCATTAAAGCATACCTTCTATGGCTGGCTCCCACGCAACAAACGTGATGGGGAAAGGATGGGAGTAACAGATCTCTAAAGATCACAAGCAAAATGCAGACTTTTAAAATAAATTCTGCCAGGTGCAGTGGCTCATGCCTGTAATTCCAGCACTTTGGGAGGCCAAGGTGGTAGGACCGCCAGAGCTCACAATTTTGAGACCAGTCTGGGCAAGATAATGAGACCCCCATCTCTTAAAAAAAAACACCACCACCAGGCATGGTGGCTGTGCCTGTGGTTCCAGCTACTTGGGAAGCTGAGGTGGGAGGATTGCTTGAGTCTGGGAAGTTGAAGCTGCAGTGAGTCCTGATTGTGCCACTGCACTCCAGCCTGGGGTGACAGAGAGACCCTGTCTCAAAAAAAAAAAAAAAAAAAAAAGAGAAGAGAAGAGGAAAAGAAATTCCAACTGTTTGTCAAGTAGCTGGGGATATTGAAGAGGGAAACAATATTGAGGCAGTGTCTAGTTTGTTGCATCTAAGATGCGGTCAAGCCTAAGATGTACTGTACTTTGGTAAGAAAAAAATGGCAGGGTGTGGTGGCTCACACCTGTAATTCCACACTTTGGGAGGCTGAGGTGGGCAGATTGCTTGAGCCCAGGAGTTTGAGACCAGCTTCAATATGGCAAAACCCAGTCTTTTTTAAAAAAACAAAAACAAAAACCCAAAATACAAAAATGAGCTGGGTGTGATGGTGTGCACCTGTGGTCCCAGCAACTCTGGAGGATGAGGTGGGAGGATCACCTGAACCTGGGAGGTGGAGGTTGCAGTGAACCAAGATCAGGCCACTGCACTTCAGCCTGGGCAACAAAGTGAGACCCTGTCTCAAAAGAAAAAGCCACTGCCAACTATGACACATAAACTGTAAAATGCATCCTAATTTAAAAAATGTTAAAATGTGGGAATAATACCACCTTAGGATCAACAAACTACAGCATTCCCTCGGTCCACTTGCTCCCACCTCTCTGTGTCAGGGCGTGACAGGATTCTACTCACAGTGCCTATGGCTCCTTAACTGCTACACAGGACACTAGCCCTCCTCCCAGCTCACTTAATTGTGAAGCCATTTAGATATGTCCTTACTTGGCAGCAGAATGGATCTGTACTCCAAGTTCCTGTCAGAGTCTAATCCCCATTTCTCTCCCATTCAATACTCAGCAAAAACTCAATGGAGAGAAATCATGCTTGCAGTACTGCCGGCAGGATCGGCAGCCCATCCATTTTGCTCTACTCTGTTTACCCTTGGATTGAGCCAGATCAGCAGAGAGCAAAGTGCTGGGACCATGCTGGGTAATCCCTCATGGGAAGGCCGCCACAGATGCTCCTGCTAGCGCACGGCTGGCTCACACCAGGGAGGCCGTTAGAAACAGCCCAAGTTGTCCTGAATCTGCTGTCAAGGACACAGCAATGGGTCTTGATGAGGACCACCGGAGACATTTTTCAGGTCTTCATACCAGAAATTTAAAAACAAAACAAAACAAAACAAAAAACTTTAAAAAATGGAGGATATTATCACTACTTGTTACATACATGCAGCACATTTTTTCATGTATCCCATAAATGTGCACAAAATTAAATATGAAGGTGTTTTTCTTTTTTTTTTTTTGTTTTTTTTGTTTTTGTTTTTTTTGAGACAGAGTTTCACTCATGTTACCCAGGCTGGAGTGCAATGGTGCGATCTCGGCTCACCGCAACCTCCGCCTCCTGGGTTCAGGCAATTCTCCTGCCTCAGCCTCCTGAGTAGCTGGGATTACAGGCATGCGCCACCATGCCCAGCTAATTTTTTGTATTTTTAGTAGAGACGGGGTTTCACTATGTTGACTAGGATGGTCTCGATCTCTTGACCTCGTGATCCACCCGCCTCGGCCTCCCAAAGTGCTGGGATTACGGGCTTGAGCCACCGCGCCCAGCCTGAAGGTGTTTTTCTTAATGCAGTTCTTATCATCATAAAAGTTGTGCATGGATGATGTATTAGTCCATCTTCACATTGCTACACAGAACTACCTGATACTGGGTAACTTGTAAGAAAAGAGGTTTAATTGGTTCACAGTTCCGCAGGCTGTATAGGAAGCATGGAGAAAGCTCTTAGGAAAACTTACAATCATGGCAGAGGGCAAAGGGGAAGCCGACACGTCCTACATGGCTGGAACAAGAGGAAGACAGCGAAGGGGACGGTGCTACACACTTTACAACAGATCTTGTGAGAACTCTATCTCGGGACAGCACTGGGGGACGGTGCCAAACCATGAGAGACCACCCTCATGATCCAGCTTTCTCCCGCCAGGCCCCTCCTCCAACAATGGGAATTATAATTCAACATGGGACCTGGGTGGGGATACAGAGCCAAACCATATCAGGTGATGCAAAACTCACTTCCTCACAAAGGTTTCTGACTATGGTTAAAACACATCAGTCTGAGTTTAGCCCATGGGGAAGAAAAGAATACCTACTGATAATGAACCACAAAATCTGACTGAATACATTATCAAATAAAATGATATTATGAACAAAAATAAAATAAAATATACCCTGAGCAACACAGTGAGACCTTGTTTCTATTAAAAATGTAAAAATTAGCTGGACGTGGTCCATGTCTATAGTCCCAGCTGCTTGAGAGGCTGAGGTGGGAAGATCACTTGAGTTTGAGAGGTCAAGGCTGCAGTGAGCCATGATCCTGCCACTCCACTCCAGTGATGGAGACCCTGTCTCAAAATAAATAAACAGAAGTATAACAAATAGACAGAAAAGTACACAATTTATAAATGTGCAGCCAAATGAATTAGCACAAATTATAACTGCCCTAAGTGAAAAAAACAGAGCCTTACTAGGATCTCAGAAGCTCCTTGTGACTTCTCCCTATCACTGCACCCATCTTGTCCCCCAAAGGCAATTTCCATCTGGATTTCTTGATTTTTCATTTTTGTTTTTTGTAGAGACAACATGTCATTATATTGCCTAGGCTGGCCTTGAACTCCTGGACTCAAGCAATCCTCCCACCTCACCCTCCCCAAAGTGCTGAGATTACAGGCATGAGCCATTGTGCCCGGCCATCCTGATTTCTAACACCATCGATTAGTTTTATCTGTTTTTAAACTTTACATGAATAGAATCACAGAATACGGATTCTTTTGGTCTGGCTCCTTTTGCTCCTCATTATGTCTGCGAAATTCCTCCATGCTGTTATGAGTAGCAGAAAGTTGTTTGTTTTCTTTTTTATTTTGAGACAGGGTCTTGCTCTGTCTTCCCGGCTGGACTACAGTGGTGCAATCACGGCTCACTGTAGCCTTGACTTCAGGAGGCTCACCTCAGCCTCCTGAGTAGCTAGGACTACAAGCACTGCCAAATCTAATTTTTTTTTCATCTGTGGAGTGAGGGTCTCACTATGTTGCTCAAGGCTAGCCTTGAACTACTGGGCTCAAGTGATTCTCCTGCCTTGGTCTTCCAAAGCATTGGGATTGCAGGCATGAAACATCATGCCCAGCTGGTTGTTAGTTTTCATTGCTGTATAGTAATCCATTTATATACATACCATAACTTATTCATTTAGATTGTTCCCAGTCTGGGGCCATTATGAATAATGCTGCCATTTTGGTGCATATATTAAGCATTTCTGGGAGGTACGTACCTAGGAGTCAAATTGCTGGGTTACAGGATATAGATGCTTAGCTAAGACCTGGAGATGACTATGGGATGACCACAGAATGGACCACCCCCAAGGGCAGCACTACCAATGAGGCCACTACTAAGTCTACTCAGCGTACCGACCCTTTATTCCTGCTGCCCAGCCACGACTGCCTCTTGACACCCAGGGAGTTGGACACTTGGTATACTAATGCCAAACTCTCACGTTTCCATCACCTTACTTGTCTGCACAAAACAGAAAAGAGGGAGAAGGAGAGAGAGTGGGTGTGGCAGTGGTGGGGGGAAAGAGGAAGAGAAAGGGAGGGAAGAAGACAGGAGAGAGAAAGAGAGAAAGAAAGGAAATAGTAGAAAATGGCCTCTATATTTTCACTCTCCAAATCTCAAGTACTTCCGAAAGGTAAAACTAATTTGGCATCTGGGACCTTCTGCATGGTAGGAAGCCAGCCTAGAAGGGAGTGGAACACAGACTGAACTATCAGAGCTACAGCGTCCGCCACAACATACCAAGGGCCTGGTCTATGTGCTGGGCAAGGCAGAGATCAGCTCTGTGAGCTGAGAGTTCAGTAAGACAGGTGAGGATTGAACACGTTAAAGTACCTGCTCCTCAGCCACCACAGAACTGCTAAGTCCATTGCCCAAATGAGGGTAATCATGTCTCCCTCTTGGTGCTGAGGGGTAAGTGCCTAATTGGTGCTTTCCTTCTCTCAATTCTGTAGAAGGTTAGGGCATGCATTTTGCATATTTATTATTTCTCACTCTCACTTTCCCTGTGTTCCTATTTCCTGATTTACTTTTTATCATCAAGTATTATGTATTTCTGCAAGGCATCTCCAATCTTCCTCCTTGAAAAAGGACAGACATAAATCAATCATTTGTCTATGTGGGCCCCCCGCGTCTACCCATTTACTCAAGAGGAGTTAGCCCACTCACCAGCTCCTATTATGTTTTGTTGGGTTCACAAATTTTAAACAGTATAAATATAAAAACAGAATTTTTCAATTCATTTCTGGTTTCACACTGGTAACCAAAAAAGTCTAGTGAGAGGATTAAAAGATGAGGGAAGAACATGTCCTTTGGAATAAAAAATTAATGTAACACTAGAGTATTCTAAGACAATTGGTTTTACTATTGTGGAACAATGCCAGACATAAAATGTATAATTAAGTGTGTTATTATTATAAGTTTGACTTGTTCTCTTTTCCCCGTCTCACCATTTAATTGGACACCACCACCACAATGAAAACGGGTCGCCTTAAAACCAATTTAAAACAGGTTGTTCAGGAGCAAAAATACAAAAAGAAAGTGTAGACTGAATGTATTACATTTTGGGCAAACAAAAACATTTGATTCATTCTGGCTCAAAAAGTCAGAGCATAGTGTTTATGGTTTTGAAAATTCACTGAAACTTTTTCACTGAACTGGTTTCTTTCTGATGCATTTTGTTGAGTTCTACCCATGACTGCCAAAGTAGCAGTCCTGGGATCAGAACCCACACACCATTAAAAAAAGACAGGTAAACCCAACAGTAGAGCCAGTTGCTGGTGTTGAGGTTGGGGCTCCTGGTGAGCCACTCTGGGAGGAAGGTCATCCAACAGCCGTACAGCTCACACACGCACAGGGTGATCTGCAGGAAATGCCTGTTGGAGAGAAAGAAGCCCGGGATGAACCACCAGCTTGGCACAGCGTGGCATCGTGAGTCGTGACATCTTGGCTGTAATGGCAGCATCAATAGTCTTTGCTATGGAAAACCGATCTGAAGTTGGGCCTCAGGTGTCGGGGTGGTGCTATTTTGATGGGGGCAAGTAAATCTAATTAATGAAGGCTCAATTCTTTCCTTAGACGAATAACACTGCCCTTTCTAGAAGATTATTCAGAGTTAAATAAGAACCCTCAGGGCTGTATGTACCCTGACCCATTCTTAGGAAAATTTTGTGAGGTCACATCTGACTTAGCACAGAGAGGCCTGACAGTGATCCTCACCAAAAGCCATTATATAAGGGGAGAGTGACTAATAACCCCTTTCTCAAACAGTGTAGCACAGAAGAAAGGAGATAATGAGGATAAAGGGCCAAGCCCTGGGCAAGTAAATGCTCAACAATGCAAATATTACAAATGTTTCAAATAATAAACACATGAGCACATGTATTAAGTTTGCAACCAAGGTCACGGAGTGAAAAATATGTCAAAGTACCAAGGAAAAATTGAATTTTTATTGCTAACTCTCTCTCTAAAATTGGGTGGGGAAGGAAGCTTTAAAGAAGACTTCTTCATTATAAGATGGTGGGAAATTGCATGCAGCTGTGCCTACTTGACATTGTTTTAGGATCATCTCAGGATAGCAATCTATTCACCCCAGGCCACTTTGTCCCTAAGGAAAGAAAAGGAAGGAAGGGAGGAGAGTTTAATAGTCTCTCAGAGCCTGAGTGATAGGATCGATAATTTTTTATCTTTCTTTTTTTTTTTTTTTTT